TACCTTCTGATTCAAGTCTCTATTAATTCAATATTAAAGACTCAATAAATTAATCCCTATTTATTATTCGAGGATCATGCCTAAGTACGTAAGTTACTATTTGCCTTTAACACCCCATTTATTCGAGTTGGTTTATTAATTATTCATTAATACTATTTTGGGAAATGCCATCAAAGTTTTATAAAAATCCTGGCCTAGAAATATCATTTGCTTATTATAATAAGAATATTTGAATTTTTTTTATGCTCTCTTGTGATGAATTTTTTGTTATTTATATTAGAGAACCTATATCTGAAATTATTTTAGATATAACTAACAAACCAGTCCCTTATGTAGGAATATTAGGAACTTTATATAAGTATTCTAAAATTTTATTAATTTCATCCCCTAATTATTTTATGAGTTATGTGTTTGAGCTATCAGAGTTAATCATTAAAATATAATTCTATATAACATCTTACAAATGATTTCCAAATTTTGAGTCAATAATAATCTTTTTAATATTTTAATTTAAATTAAAAATTTCATTAATTTTTCTTAGTAATTAAAGAGTCATAGTAGGATGATTATTTGATTCAATAATAAGTCTAATTAATAATCTACGTAATGGTTGCAGATTATTCATATTATGGTAATATTATCTAAACGCTTATCTTAAAATTTTAAACAAAATAGTTGAAGCATTTTCATTCTCATTTTCAGTGACTAAAACTATTTCCAATAATGCACAACATTTATCAGTAAGTTTAGCAGACTGGTTTTAATTATTGACTAAACTATTATTTTAAAATTAAAGATATGATAGATAATATAAAATCTCTGACAAACGTGATGCTATCTAATAAGTTTAAATAGAACAATTTTCTATAAGCATTTTTTAATTGAAATGCAAAAATGTCACTTTTTCTAAAGTAGATCCTAATTCTCTTTCCCATTCATCTATTAATTTTAATGTTTTTTCTAGACATTAACTAGAGTTAAAACCCTAAAATATACAAATAAAATACTTGAATAATAATAAACCTATCGAAGTTAGGGATTTTGAATAATTTAGCTAACATATCAAAATATTATTGCTCTTTTAAATATTAACATAAGCTTTGATTTTTTTAATTACATAATTCACTATGAAATAATAAAGTTTATGTTTTTTTCTTTTGAATTTTTTAAAATTATGATTCAAAATCTTAATTAAAGTTTAAATTTTATTGTTAGTTATTTAATTCTTCCAACAATTATCCTAATGTATTTGCTAGTATTTCATGTATTTAAATTTTACTCTTATCATTTATGTAATTAAATTTATTAATAAATTTTGCTAAATTTAAAAAACTTTAGTCAACAATATTATTTTAAACAATTAAATGATAATTTATTAGGCGATCTAGAAATACTTTTGCATAATCATTGAATTTATTAATTTTTTCTCCTTTTGTTATATTTGCATAAAAAGATATTATAGCCATAATTAATTCTGAATCTATTTCTTCAGTACTCATTTTTAGAATCATTTCATTTAAGAAATCAGGTAAGTTAGAACTAACAATTTTATCAATTTCTTAAAAATTTGCATTAAGTAAAGAAGAAATTAATCGTATAGCTTGGCGGACAGTTTTAGTAAATTATCCTGGCTACTGCAAATAATTTGCCATATAGCCTAAAACATGAGAATCTACAAACTTTTTAGTTATTTAATGTACATTATTAATATTATTATTATTAATCTAAAATCTATCTATAAGAAATTACTTATAAATTTATAGCCCGAATGCAAGAATTCATAATAAGATCTGCGTCTGCCTCATTTATTTATACATAACCATTTTGAGTTGGTTTTTACAAGCTAAACACTTGATTAATGTAATATTCAATAATTTTAGTAAGTTCATCTTATCTCTAGTTATTTAAATGTGGATCATAATTTCTAATCAACTAACTTAGGAATGATACTGTTGCCTCTAATTATTTAGGCGTGAACAACATTCTATTATCTTAAATATTTAGAGGTCTCATTAAATTATTGATTATCTAATTATAATCAAATTAAGAAAATTATCTATTGATCAATAAATTTCTTTAGAGAATTGAGAAGATACTACAGGTTAATGATTCATCTCTAACTAAATTTTCAGAAAGAATTTGAGGGTTATACTTTAAGGGATATCCTTAAATTACTTAATCTTATGCTATTCGTTCCATAGATAAAACATCTGAAAGTAATTTTACAAATTAATTATCTTAATCTAAATGTTAATTATTTTTTGAAATAGTTTCAAGTACTTCTATTACTAAAAGTGGATCTATGGATTCAAGTTTAAATAAATCAAAATAGTAGATATTTCTTTCATCTCCAATAATTGAATTAAATAATTTTGCAATTTATTATTATGCATTAATTCCATTAATTAGTCTTCTTTGATTCGATATCATAATGGATGCTTTTAGATGTAATTTGATTATGATATTTTTAGTTTGTTATGGATTTTTATCTAATCCTCTTTTTATCAGGATTCTGTATTTTACTATTTCAATTAAGGGTGATAAAGGTTAATTTTGCTTATTTAATAGATTTCTTGACAAAGTGAGAGCTGATATTGAATCGTCATCTACTATTTATACTATCTACAAAAATAAATTAAAATTAATACTTTGTTTTAGAATTAATCTTATAATATGTTATTATTATGATTTCTATTTTTACATATATCTTCATAACTTTCCTCTTATTAAGCTGGTTCATTATACTCAATCTCAAATTATAAAGGGGTTCTAAGATCCATTCTAATATCTCTGTATTTTGGATCGTCTTAATAATAATCAACCAATTTTATCTTATTTTTGGATAAATAATTGATGTGTTCATATAAAATTTTTTCTAGATATATTAATCTTGGGAAAT